TATATATATATATATATATATATATAGGTAGGTAGATCTATCTTTAGCGCTTAGGCAAGAAAAGAAATTTGTATCATTTTTTACTTCATTACATTTAATATACGCTTACAGCACTTACCTTTAAATAATTTAATTTTTACGTTCTAATATTCTTCTTTGCAAATGGCTTAATATCAGAGTAAACATATTTTGTATTAATTTTATCTTTGTAAAAGGGTTGTAGATCACATCCATGTCAGACACTTTAAGAAATTTTCTATCCTATCTTTCCTAACAAGGTGATCTTCTATGATGTCTATTTAAAAGGACATTTTTCATTTTGCCGTTCTTAAAAAGGTCATTTCCAAATTTGACTTTCAGAAAAAGGTCAGTTACAAGCATAGGAAGCAACAATAATCATTGGTACGCTCTATGGAAACTATGATTTACCATGTTTTGGCCAGTTCCGTTCGGGAAATTATACTCTCAATTATACTCCGTTAAAATATGTCTAGATCTGTCCTTAAAATATTTCAAAAAAGACTCCTTAGAATAAAGATATTCGTTTAATAAATGGTACTATCGAACTTTTTCTCCACAAAATCTTTTACTGTTTTTAAATATGTATTGTCTGGATTTAAAAAAAAAGACTCTTCCTTGAACAGTCTACGGATATCAGTTTACCTGAAAAAAAATGCAAAACAATTAATCCATGCATTTTAATTACAGCCTATGACGTTTCAAATCCCAATAAGTTTAACAAATGTTATCATTGACATTAAAATAAATATTGTGCAAAAGACAAATTTCTGTTTGCCTAGCTCTAGCATAGCTCTTTTCCTTCATTGTTAGCCAAGCCTAATAAATGGTACTATCGACGTTTTCTTCTAGTCCCCCCTGCAAAACAATGATAAAACGACATTCACCTTCTGTTCACCTTCTGTGGAGCAGGTGAGAAGAGTTGCTTCTACTGTTGTCTCTTTGTCTCTGGCACAAGATGATGAACCAAAAGCCTGTGAAACGTTCAAGAAAAATTAACTAAATCTACCTCCAACAATCTCAGTTTTTTTTTTTTTACCGTGATGTGCTAAGCCTGTAGTACTTTTGATCAGGTGTCATCATTCCGTTCATAGTCAGCCTATGACGTTTTCAACCCCCCCGCATTTAACAGCAAATCTTCTAGTATTGCCTACTGTCTTTTGCAGTCTTCCTCGAGAAGTCATATGTCTGTTCACCTGGAAATAAACAAAGCGGTTATTAATAAAGAAAAGTTTAAATGAATGCATGCAAGATCTCACAGCTCTGACATCACTCCTTCATAGTCAGTCGATGAACTTTTTAGACCACGCTCCAACTTGGAAAGAAGTAATCCAATTAATAATAAGAATTGTTGAAATTTATGAATTTAATCATTCAACTAGGTTGGCATCTCGCTCTCACCCTTTCACTGTCGAAATTGTTAAATGTAGCCGTCTCTTCTACTCCAATTGCTTCATGTCTCGCACTTCTCGCCTGTGGAAATCCCCCCTTTTGCTGTTTCCCTGATAGCTATAATCTCCAACTTTTCCAATGGAATGTCAATCGACGTCTCCAGATGCCTTGATCTATACCCTATCCTTCTCTTCATCCTTTCCTCTATCACTCCTATTTTCTCTCGCTCCAACTCTCTGTAACCCCTTGCGTGCTAGTGGCTTCCCGCCTTGCTTGGGGTGGAATGTTTAAAAAAAATAATTAATTCATGCAAAATTTCACAGCTTGAGCATCATTCCTTCATTTTCAGTTTATGGAATTTCCAGCCCAGACCTGTAAGTTTAATAAATGGTGTTATCGACTTTAAAATCTTCTAGAATTTTCTTCCTCAAACATTTTGATATCAGTTTATCTGAAAAGAAACAATGCATTTAATAATAATAATAATAATAATAATAATAATAATAATAATAAGTGCTGACATTAATGCATTCAAGATTTTACAGCTCTAGCATAACTTTTTTCGTAGTCAGCGTCCACCTCGTTTGTGAGTTCAGGCACATTTAGGAAAAAAGAGGTTGTAGTGGACTAATATCGCCTAAGTTCTGTCGATACTTGGTATTTGAAAAATAAATATACGAAATGTTCTTCGGTGAGCTGAAGGTGTGTTAAAATGAACATCACTATCATGAGGTTCAATCAATTTTAAGATAAAGAATTTTATTTGTCGAGCTAAGTCTCCTTTGCTTTCCATGTTAACTTTTTGCAGACAGCTGGTCCAAAACATTAACGAGTAAAATACATGTTACCGTCTTGACATGTATAATAAATAAAAAAAATAGTTTCGTCTTTCCAAGTTGAAACAAAAGAAAAAGGTCTGTAAAATACTTCATCTCTTTGCAATCAGATGTTTTAACTTTGAAGCAACTGCAAGCTTCCAATGTTTAATTTCGTGACTAGAATGCCTTCTGCTCTTTCCTTGAAAAACTAAACAAACGAACTTGTGAAAATCAATTCTCGTAAGAGATTTTCTCATTACAAGAATTCAGTGTCAGAATCTATTATGCAAGTGTTTTTTCTTTATGTGCCTTGTTCCTTCATGACGTTGGCCTTCTACAATTTAATTCTGTAATTTATTCTCTTTTCCCTTTCTATCATATTCCCTGTTCAGCTATTCATTTAAACAAGCTCGTTAAGTTAGGTTGTACAATACTTTTGCACTTACATTCAATATGTCCTGATCATTATGGAACCCTTTGTTCATGTTTTTATTTAACATTTTCAAAATTTCAAGACATTTTCTTTGAATCTATCTATCTATCTATCTATCTATCTATCTATCTATCTATCTATCTGTTTGTCTGTTTATCTATCTATCTATCTATCTAAATCAATTCATTATCTATCTATCTATCTATCTATCTATCTATCTATCTATCTGTCTGTCTGTCTATCTATCTATCTAAGTCAAACGTTATCTATCTATCTATCTAAGTCAATACATTATCTATCTATCTATCTATCTATCTATATATATATATATATATATATATATATGTGTGTGTGTGTGTGTGTGTGTGTATCTATCTAAATCAATTCATTATCTATCTATCTATCTATCTATCTATCTATCTAACTCAATTCATTATCTAAATCTATCTATCTATCTATCTATCTATCTTTCTACCTATCTGTCTGTCTGTCCGTCTGTTCATATCTATCTATCTGTCCGTCTTTTAATATCTATCTATCTATCTATCTATCTATCTATCTATCTATCTGTTTGTCTGTTTATCTATCTATCTATCTATCTATCTATCTATCTGTCTGTCTGTCTGTCTGTCTATCTATCTATCTATCTATCTATCTATCTATCAATATATATATCTATCTATATATATATATATATATGTGTGTGTGTGTGTGTGTGTGTGTGTGTATCTATCTAAATCAATTCATTATCTATCTATCTATCTAACTCAATCCATTATCTAAATCTATCTATCTATCTATCTTTCTACCTATCTGTCTGTCTGTCCGTCTGTTCATATCTATCTATCTGTCCGTCTTTTAATATCTATCTATCTATCTATCTATCTATCTATCTATCTGTCTGTCTGTTCATCTGTTCATTCCTTTCTAGAGAATGTCTAATTTTCTAAGTAATATTTCCGCATTACGATATAATACGATATAGAATTAAACTGTCTCTTCCTCATGTTAAGTATAAGAGCCTTTTTTGTTTCCATTTTCTCTGAAACCTTGACGTTTTTCACATGTTCGGTCCATACTATTCTCAGCATGCTTCTGTAGAACCAGATTTCTGTAGTTTCAAGTCTGTTCTTTATCTTTGAGGAGAATGTCCCGCATTCACTGCCATATAGGAGGATTCATATTACGAAACATTTCAGAACAATTTTCTTTGTTTCTAACAATAATTTCCTGTTTCTTAATACTTCACTTAGCTTTTAGAAGGCATATTTCGTTATCCCTATACGCCTTCGGATTCCGGTGCCACAAATACTTTGTTAAAATACTACCTAATATTTAAATTATTGTGCTTGTTTAATTTTGGTATATCCAATTTGGAATTTACACGCCCGGTTGTTCATTTTTCTGATAACCATGCATTCTATCTTCTTTCAATTGATATTTATGCCTTTCGGATGCTCTCTTTCATTGCCTTTTTGTAGGAGTTTTTCTAGTTTCCTCTATGTCTTCTGCTATCAACACTGTGTCATCTAAATGTTAAGGTTGTGGCCGCCAAACATGAATCCTGGTAGGACTTCTAATTCTATTAGAATTTCCTCATATATAGTTTGAGGAGGCACGATGGAATAACGGATAGCCGCACGGATTGAGGAATCGGAGAGCCGAGTTCGAATTCCAGTCGAATCCATTACATTCACTTTCGTGCAAATATCCTTGGGAAAGGTATGAATCCTCTTCTTCTCTCCATAGTTATGGGTAAATAGCAGGACAGACTGGGTTCTATAAGCTTGGATGGCAACTGGTCTACCGCAGAAAGAAATGGCAAACTACTGAGAGAAAAAAATCTGCCTCGTCGGTCATATATCGAAAGATACATGATCGACTAAGCGTGTATCCCGCATGGCACATAACTGACTGAATGAGGAATCGGTGAGCCGAGTTCGAATTCCAGTCGAATCCATTACATTCACTTACGTGCTAATACGCTTGGAAAAGGTATTAATCCTTTTCTTCTCCTTCCAGCTATAGGTAAATAGAGGACAGATCGGGTTCTATAGCCTTGGATGGCAACTGGTCTAGGAGAAGGACAACTCTGAATTCAAACCCGGAGTCGAGCCCCTAAGGCGGATGGACGGCACTTTGTGCAACCTTCCGGCAACTCCTTAAGCTGCGCTGGTACCAAACTGTATTGATTTATCCTCTCCTTTGGACCCTGCGAGCAAGACCAAGAAGGAGAACTAGACGTCTAGTTCTCCATATATATCCCGCCCAGGCTCCTAGCGCGCCGCGCTACTCCATCGTCTCTCGAGACGGACCGATGCCGACGACGGATAGTTTGAACGAGTCCGGTGAGATGACACATCCTTGTCTTACTTCTACTTTCTGTTTGGGTATATTTACTGAAATAATTTTCTATCCGAATGCAAGTGGTTTGCAGCCAGTATATGTTGTAGATTATTCTGTTATCCTTCCAATATATGTCATTGTTACGTAGTTCAACAGTTCTTTGTGATGATCTATAAAATATTCATGTTTTCGAAATTAATTTATGTTGGTTTCAATCTACTAGGAATGGATGCAAAACACTTGCCCCTCGCAAATTTATAGGCAAAAACACAGAAATGCTTGCTGGGATTTTTTTCTAATCATCAAAAAAAGGCCAGTTCTCTGTAGTGTCTGACTCAGTCCCGTTCTGTCTTGTCTTGAAGTCAGAACGCTTCATTCGCTTGTCCGCATTTGCACTTTTGTGTCAACTTTAATTCTTTGTATGTGAACTTTTGGCCATACTAATATTGCTTTGTCTTGCATATTTTGTTTGCTTGCTTTATATTTTTTTACCCTGTTCCTTTCTTTTCTCTTTCTGGTCATTTCTAATTGCAAACATTGGCAATTCTATTTGTTGAACTGTTTTGTTATTTATTCTGTATTTATCATGACTGCTAACTCTACAACTTGATTTGGATAATGACTTTCACCAAATACTTATTTATTGTATACATCTACTGTGATATAATATCTGTCATAAAAATTTTGTGTCGGGTTTTATTATACTGATCTATTTCTGATTGTTATTCTGTCAGTTAATAATTTACGTAACACAGGCGTTACGCCTTATAATAGCTTCAGCTACCTTGTCCACAAATTCTTGGCATATATATATATATATATATATATATATATTAATATAACATTATATTTATATATATATATATATATATATATATATATATATATATATATATATAATTATTTTTTAAATAGGGTTCCGTCGCTACACAGGAATTACCATGTTTCAAAAACAGAAGCTAAAAACTTCTAATTCAGTTATAGAAATTAAATTAAACTACCTAGTTCTGTTTCATTTCCAAATGAATTTCGGAATAACTTATTTTGAAATTTACGGAGCTTTATAAGCATATACATTCATAAAATTGGTTTCTATGGATATGGAGAAAATCAATCCTTTTAATAAGGGGCGGTAGGGTATTCATTTTCAATGACAACTATTGTATCAACATATTAGTTATTCCGAAAAGTTGTTAAGTGAAGGTAGGGTAGGGGGTGTTTTTTTTACATAGGAATGATGGCATCCGTTCAACGCATTACTAGTGTATTGAGCACTATTTTTTAAAAATAAAAACAAAAATACTAAAGAACTTCGGATCATCAATCTAGCGATTCTTTCCTATTTTATCAATATATTTGCATATATATATATATATATATATATATTGTGCGTACGTAAATATTTGTCAAGTCAGAATAAATGTTTCATGAACAGAGAGTTGCACAATGATGATTGTTCTGATTAGAGAATATATTTCACTTGGCCTGAAAAGAAATCACGTTCTCCAGTAGATAGATAGATAGATAGATAGATAGATAGATAGATAGATAGATAGATAGATAGATATCGTTGATTAATAGAATACGAAATGATATCATTCTTGCGTAAAATTATTGTTTATTCTTATCTGGGCATCCAGGTCCAATTTCTGATGCACCTGTCGATCTTGATGCACAGCCTACTTTGCTTCGGAGATATCGGGGTCACCACAGATCAAATCCTCTTAGAATAAAGATTCTTTATTGACATTTAATTCGATTTAGATCATCTGGTAGTTCCTGGTGTGAGTCGCTTATTACAGATAGATAGATAGATAGATAGATAGATAGATAGATAGATAGATAGATAGATAGATAGAAAAATTTAATCTATAGAAACAAAAGCAGGATCAATGCTTTATCAAGTAAAATCCATTCAAACGAATAAAAACGAGTTTTCTCTTATACATTCTTCTAATGCCTGTAACCTTAGAGAAAATCATTTGCGTTTGTTTTGAAGAACTATGAGAAGAGTTTTATGTTTTGTAACATAAATCAATGTTAGCTTTAGTTCCATTATTATTATTATTATTATTATTATTATTAATTATAGATAGATAGATAGATATAAAAAAAATCTGAGATAGTTCAGTAGATAGATATGAAAAGCGCAAAATGTTGGATACCTTTCATATTTTTTATACTTTTATATGAATCTTTAATAGGTAGATAGTTAAAAGAATCAGACAGTTCGCCTGAGTTCTTAAGGCCTGGAACTACGTAAGTACATAATAGAGAAATACAAAATTACATCATAAGTATAGACTATTTCATCTAACACCATTCCATTAGCTTTATTCAACTCAAATGGTGGACTGTATTCAATGACCAAACTAGAAATTTAAAACAGAGACAGTGGTTGAAAAATTGTTATAGAATTAACCAAACAGACAACTCGAAACTTCTCAAGGTGAGGGTGGTAATGGAAAATGGATTTAGAAATTGAACCCATACATCTATATGTTAAAAATGGAAATTTATTTATTAAAGACATTTTTTAACCCCAACGTTGTATATATATATATTTAAGAAATGTTCTTTGACAAAACCTGATCTAAACAATTTATTTATTAAAGAACCTTCATTTTTTATGTTTTTAACGTAAGGTTCTTTATAGTTACAACATTTAAGCAAATGCTCTGTTTATGATAAACAGTATTTTTTTTTTATTTATTCGGCCTGAATGTCAATTAATTTTCATAAAAATATTCGTTCTTTAACAATATGGAACTCGAACCTGCATCCTATACGGAACCGTTCATAAAATTTTCAACGTGCCTTAACCGTTTATGTTACTTCAAAAACAAAAATAAAGCAAATGATTTTATAAATAAGGTTACAGGCATTTAAGAATGTTTTATCTTTTTTATTCTTTTTGGATTTTACTTGATAAAGCATTGCATCCTGCTTTTGTTTCTATAGATTAATATTTTCTTTAAGTCCTAAGTGTCGCTTTTCCACATTCTTCTTATGATCTTCAGTATCTCTGAACATTCTACGACCCAGAGAAGTACTTTACACTTTTGATATATGCTCTATATATTCTCTTGTTGGTTTTTGGTTTTGTTCGTTTCGTTTGGTACGATTAGAGAAAGTGCGTTTGGCCAATAAATTTTCAACATCCCCCCCACGCCTATCCGCCCAAATAGTGAAATAAAATATTCTTTTAGTGCTGTCAAGAAAAATCAATGTAGTCTAATTGCATCCAGTTGCAACTAAATTTCAGTCTGACTTTCACATGGAGCAGAACAGCTGGAGATAACCAAACCCATTATCTACGCTATGACGTTCTGTCAATATAAACTGGCTGGAGTCTGAAATTCCTCTGTGGTCCGAATCTATTTCTGCATTAGACACGTTCGAAACAATCTCGTATGTCCGGATGTATCTCTTTTGTCCGGATGTTCCAAACACAATGTTACATTTTTTATGGAAACGGTATAACAACATGTTTAGATATAACAAACCTTAGATTTATTTATTATTATATATCTTAACTGTGTATATATATATATATATATATATATATATATATATATATATATATATATATATATATATATGAATCAATTCATTATCTATATATCTATCTAAATCAATTCATTATCTATCTAAATTTATCTATCTATCTGTCCGTCTGTTCATATCTATCTATCTGTTCATCTGTTCATACCTATCTAGAGAATGTCTAATTTTCTAAGCAATATTTCCGCATTATATACGATATAAACCTTGTCGTTGTTCACATGTTCGGTCAATATTATTCTCAGCATGCTTCTGTAGAACCAGATTTCTGTTGTTTCAAGTCTCTTCTTCATCTGTGAAGAGATTATCCAGCATTCACCCCCATATAAGAGATTAGATATTACATAGCCATCCAACACTCTTTTCTTTGTTTCTACGGACACTCGTCAGTAGAACCACATCTCTGTCGCTTCAAGTCTCTCCTTCATCTGTGAGGAGATTGTCCAGCATTCACTGCCATATAGGAGAGATATTATTAGTCCAACACTCTTTACATCAGTAGAACCACATCTCTGTCGCTTCAAGTCTCTTCTTCATCTGTGAGGAGATTGTCATTCCTTTGCCATATAGGAGATTAGATATTACATAGCCGTCCAACACTCTTTTCTTTGTTTCTAAGGACACTCGTCAGTAGAACAACATCTTTGTCACTTCAAGTCTCTTCTACATCTGTGAGGAGATTGTCCAGCATTCGCTGCCATATAGGAGGACTGATATTACGGAAAATTTCAGAACAATTTTCTTTGTTTCTAACGACAATTTCCTCTTTCTTAATACTTCACTTAGCTTTTAGAAGGCATATTTCGCAATCCCTATACGCCTTCGGATTCCGGTGCTACACACACTTTGTTAAAATACAACCTTATGTTTAAATTATTGTACTTGTTTAATATATATATATATATATATATATATATATATATATATATATATTATATTATGTGGCTTGCGGCCACATTTCCTTGAAGACACCGACGTTAAGCAACGTCGACTCAGAATGCAAGGTGTTGTAAGCTTGGATGTGCGGTGTTGGGTATAATGGATGACGGCTCTGAATTGTTAATTGGAGAGCCGAGCTCCAGTTTCAGTTTGGTACCTTATACCATATATATTCATGTAACGTGCGATCTCGTGTATAGTGCGACCCTCAGATCTTCACTTATAATCTCGTGTATCTAGAGAGTTCTTTCTTTTTTTTTTGAGCGACCAAATTACAATAGACTAACCTCTTTTCTTCTATCTGTTTATCCCATCTTCTAGTTAAATAAGTTAAAAAGTAAAAAAGAATGATAAAAGTATCGTTAGTAACCCTATACTCGTTGCGTAAACGCGTACAGCCATAAACAACCGAACGAGAAACAACTAAACATCATATAAACGTAAACATTGAAAAAGATGCCTATTCGTTTTGTTTGTATTTTATAATACG